ATAGTAAGAATGAGAAGGCACAGGCCATAGAAAGGTGGGTAACATGGCAGGAACTGCCAAAACTTTTCACTCCTGTCAATACTTAAGGACTTAACTCCCAATTAAATGAAATAGATTGATTAGTTGAATCAAAAAACAAGACCCATCTATCTGTCTTCAAGAGGCACACCTTGCCAACAGAAACAAGTATCCTGAATGTGAATGGGTAGAATAAATTCTATCAAGGAAATAGTCCCCCTAAGCAGGCCAGAATAGCAATATTAATATCAGATAGAATATACTTCAAATTATAATTAGTAAGAAGAGACTAAGAAGGCCATGACATACTAATAAACGGACCTTTCCTATGGGAGGATATAACAATCTTAAATACCTATACCCCAAATGAATACCCCCTTCATCAAACAGATACTACTTACCCCGTAATATACACAGATCCAAACACATTGATTTTTGGTGACTTTAACAGACCAAAGTCACCTATAGATACATCAACCCAGCAAAAATTAATCAGAGAAAACTTAGTATTAAAGAACTGCCTTGACCAACTAGACTTCACAGACATCTACAGAATATCTCACCCAGCAGCATAAGACTATACATTCTTCTCAGGAACAGATGACATGATCTTGCATTGAAAGAAACTCAGATTCCTCTCCCAACTTACTTGAGCTGATTGGAAACTGGCAAAGCAGCAGGCTATAATATTAACACAAAAAATTCAGCAACTTTCCTGTGTGCCAACAATGAGAAGAGTGAGGCTGAAATCAGTAAAGCAACCCCATTTGTAACTGCCTCATAAAAACAAAAGCTAAGAACTTCATTAGATGTGAAGGGCCTCTATGATGAAAAATTTTAAAACCTCAAGGGAAATTAAAGCACACTGAAAGAAATGAAAAAACTTATGCCTCTGGATTGGGAGGATCATCATCATGAAAATGGCAATACTACACAAAGCTATTTACAAATTCAACACAATACCCTTCAAAATCTCGACAATATTTTTTAATTACATAGAAGAAATGATCCCAAATGCATATGGAATTACTGGAGATGTTGAATAGCAAAAGCAGTCCACAGAGGGAAAAACAGGGCTGGAAGAATATCAATACCAAGCCTCAAACTCTCTAACAAAGACATACTACTACTACTAGTAATAGAACCCATAGACCTGTGGGTAGCCTCCAAATATTTGATAAGGGAGACAAAATCTCAAAATACAAGAAACCAATGATGCTGGCACAATTAGCTATACATGCAGAAAACAATTAAATCCTTCTATATCACTCTGCACCAGATTAGTAACAATTAGATTAAATGGATGACCAGATACTCTGAATATATTACAGGAAGGGATAGGGAAAACACTAAGTCTCTGTGGCACAGGTCAAAACTTCCTAAAGATCCAGAATTGAAACAAATCAAAGGAAAACCAGAAAAATGGGATTGCATAAAACAAGCTTTTCTGCATACCAAAGAACCTTGCTACATGTAGACATATGACTTCTGGCTAAATGTTTTTCTATATTTGTTATACTCAATTGTTTCTCTGCTGTATGTGTTCTCAGATGCAGTGAAGACTGATTCTGATTTAGTAATTACACATTTGTTAAGTTCTATTTTCTACTGTGAGTCAGTTCTCTAATAAATAGGAATGCCATCCAGCTGACTTTCTACATTTGTGCTCATGTTTCTCTCTTCAAAATGACAGCCTGCTTTCTTGATGAAGGATTTTCCACATCTGTTACATTCATATGATCTCTGCTGTGTTTTCTGATACAAACTTAGTTTTGTGAAACTCTTGTTTTGAAACTTTCCACATTTGTTTCTTTTGTAACAGTTCTCTCTTGTGGGTGTCCAATGATAAAGCCTGAGCAGTGTCTTCTGGGTGAAAGACTGCACACTGGGCTACATTCTTAAGGCTTCTCTCCTGTGTGGGTTCTTTGATGCAAACTGAGTTTTGTTTCAGGTGAGAAATTTTCCACATGTATTACATTCCAAAGGTTTCACATGAGTTGCTAAAGTGTGAATGCTAGGTGAAGGATTTGCACATATACTACATTCCTAAGGTTTCTAACCTATGTAAATTGTTATGCCTGCTGAGGTGTGAACTCTGTTTGAAGGTCTTTACATATGTTGCTTTCATAAGGTTTCTCTACTGTGTGTGTTCTCTGATACAAAGTGAGTTATGACTTCTGTCTGAAAGTCTGTCCTGTTTTTTACTTTCATAGGGTTTCTCATGAGTGTGTCCTCACATGAGTATTAAAGTTTGACTTCTGAGTAAAGGGCTTTTCACAGTTCTTACATTCACAGGGTTTCTCTCCCGTGTGACTTCTCTGATGTTTAGTAAGGTCTGCCTTGTAGGTGACTTTCTACATGTTGCATTCATAAGGTTTCTCTCCTGTGTAAACTATGATGTAAAGTGACATGTGACTGCTGCATGAGACTTTCCATACCTGTTGCATTCATGTTGCTCTTCGGTGTATATTCTGATGTGAAGTGAGGTGTATCTTCTGTCTGAACAACTTCCCACATTTGTTACATTCATAAGGTTTCTCTCCTGTGTGTATTCTCTGATGCAAAATGAGGGGTGACTTCCTTACAAAAGCCTTTCCACATTTATCACATTCATAAGGTTTCTCCCCAGTGTGTCTTCTCTGATGTAAAGCAAGGTTTTCTTTCTGTCCGAAAGATTTTCCACATTTGTTACATTTATAAGGTTTCTCTCCTGTGTGTACAGTGTGATGAACAGCAAGTTGTGACTTCCAGGTGAAACACTGTCCACATTCCTTACACTCATAAGGTTTCTCTCCTGTGTGAGTTCTCTGATGCAAAGTAAGGCGTATCTTCTGTCTGAACGACCTTCCACATTTGATACACTCATAAGGTTTCTCTCCTGTGTGTTTTCTCTGATGCAAAAGAAGTTTTGATTTCTGTCTGAATGACTTCCCACATTTGTTACATTCATTACATTTCTCTCCTGTGTGTATTCTCTGATGCAAAATGAAGGGTGACTTCCGCATGAAAATCTTTCCACATTTATCACATTCAAAAAGTTTCTCCTCTGTGTGTCTTCTCTGATGTAAAACAAGGCTATTTTTCTGTCTGAAAGACTTTCCACATTCCTTACACTCATAAGGTTTCTATCCTGTGTGAGTTCTCTGATGCAAAGTGAGGTGTGTCTTCTGTCTGAACAACTTTCCACATTTGATACATTCATAATGTTTCTCTCCTGTCTGTATTCTCTGACACAAAAGGAGTTGTGACTTCTTTTTGAATGACTTTTCACATTTGTTACATTCATTACGTTTCTCTTTTGGGTGATTTCTATGAGTGGAAAATTGCCTATATTCCTCATATTCATAGTTTTTCTTCTGTTGGTGTTTGAGGCTGTAAATTCAGGTCTGACATCTGAGAGGTAAATTTTGCACACTGGATATACTCATTGGAATTCTCTGGATATTTGCTCTGAGGCTTCATAAGGTCTATTTCCTGACTGAAAGATTTGTCACATGTACCACATGTGCAATGTTTCTCTCTTGTGTATCTTTTCTCATGTGTAGTGACTGTAGGTCTTAAGTTGAACAGTTTTCCACATAGACTACATTCAGGAGTTTTTCTTCCTCCCTGAAGTATTTTCTGAAAAAGAGAGCAGAGTTATAATAGCATTCTCTATATTCATTATGGTTATATTCATTCTGCCATATGAAAAGTTACTAAACTCACTCCTTCCTCCACTGTATTACTATTTGTGACTAAGACTTCACACGGACTTTCATCTGGATTTTGCTGGCACATCTTATTCACGTCCTCCATTTCTTGGATATCTAAAATAAGTCACAGAAAAAAAGACAAAACACAAATGAGATCCAAAGATTCCTTACTGTAAAGGTAAAGACATTTTTTCTCATTCTAATTATTACATATTTTAAAATATCAGAGTAGGAATTGATTGGTGATAAATATATGCTTTTCTCCATAATGTCTTAATTAAGAAAGTAATACTGATGCTTTACAATGGAAAAGAATGTGTTTCAATTTTCTTCGTTTTATAACAGAGGAAATATTTCCTCAAATTACTTACCCATGTACTGTCAGAGTAGTAAGCTGTGTATGAACTATACCCTTTAGTATTCTTGGGTTGTTTTTCTCAATTTTTATTTTGTTTGGCATAAGGGAATAGTTTTTTTTTTTATTTCCTTGAAATAATTTATATATTTTGTTTTATTGTTTCTCAACCATTAGGTGAGGAACAAAAATATTTTCCATTCTCAGAAACCATAATATTGTTTATATATCACTACTTTGCCTATCAAGTAAGCAGGAATTGTTCCTAGAAGTAAGGTTTTACACCTACATCTCTTAAGTTCTAACTTCTTACTAAGAATTATGAGGTATCTATGGGAATTTTAAATTTTCTTTGTCTTCACTGTGGATCAAAGTCTTTTTAAAATTCCTTTTCTGATATTCCTGCCTATCAGAACCATGGAAGAACAAAGATTCTTCAGCTCATCAGCCAAATAATCATCTTCTCTAGACTAAAAGCTGCAGTTCTGAATCCCAGTGTATGTCTTCCAGCACTGATGATCTATTTTACTCATCAGGAGAACAGGCCTGGTGTACTCCTTATTTCTTCATACCTACACAGTCCTAGTTTCAAAGAAAATAAAATCTTATTTTCTACATTTCTTGTTTAGTTTTTCTGTTTCAGAATGATTTCCACAAAGACAAAGAGAATTGCAAACTTTATCTCTATAGCCACAATAAATTAAGTTCGTGTCCACATGAATTCTTGATTTACTAGTCTTTAAGACAAAGGATCATCTATTTATTTGCCACACAGGACTTAGAACTGGGAAGATTATTGCTCAGAACAGTGCAAGACGAATCTACCAACAGAGCTCTGGCAAAAACATCACTACACAAGATGCTTTAAGTCACTTGTGAAATTTTTGCTTGAGGCTTCTCTTATCCTTGGTTCTACTGCTTGCTCCAGTTTGACAATCAAGTTAGGTTTAGGAACACAGTGCCCTGTTAATAATAGTGAAGAATTATTGATCGTGCTCTGTCATCTTTGCTGTAAGATTTGACAGTCTATTCACAAGGTTGCTCCTAAATCTTGTTATTTCTCAATGACTCCATGGTTGACTTTCCCCCAGCTTTGGATTTATTTTTCTGGTTGTGTGGTTTGAAATCAGCTATTTTGCTCAAGGCTAGCATTCTACCAGTTAGAGTACCAGCCCCTCTTTCACTTTTTGAGTGATTAATTGAAAATGAGTGTCATGGGGTCTTTTCTGCCATTTCTGGCTTCAAATCAAAATCCTCAGTTCAGCTTCCTGAGTAGCTAGGATAACAGGCCAGCTCCATTGTACCTAATTGCCAGTTTTGAATTATAAATACCCATTTTAAATCTGTGGTTTCCAGATCATCTTTCCAACAGTGATATACATTATATTCTAGATTGTATAACCATTTACAATAATATGCTCAAGGTTGGGAAGACAGTCTTCTGGAATGCTACATCTAAATAACATAAATATTCATATATTTACGAAAAACAAAGCACATGACCTTACAAGTTAATGTGACTTTTGCTCACCCAAGGACACAATGTTATGGTAGATCTCCAGCATTACATCTCTATACAGGGTCCTCTGAGCAACGTCCAGGTACTGCCACTCCTCCCAGCTGAAGTCCACAGCCACATCATCAAATGACACTAGCTTCTGTAAGGACACATTTCTGTCAAGTAATTAACCCTGAGTCACGAGAACACCAAGGCTGGAATTTCATTCGTCTACAGATAGGCATTTTATCTTATATAAAAATGTTTGGAGCTTGCTGTGTTATCTATACAGTGGGAGAAAGAATGATCAAGGTAGAAATGTTTGCCACTGTATTAACTTGGTAATTAAAATACAAGGTTTCCTGCTGGGAAGGTGGCTCAGTATTAAGAGTGCTTGCCTTGCATGCATGAGACTCTGGGCTTGATTCCTCAGCACCACATAAGCAGAAAAAGCCAGAAGTGGCTCTGTGGCTTAAGTGGTAGCGTGCTAGTCTTGAGCTGAAAGCTCAGGGACAGCACCCATGCCCAGAGTTCAAGCCCCACAGACAAAAAAAAAAAAAAAAAATAGTTTCCCTAATACATCAGAACACATTTCTAAGGAGATAATAATCTGGCATGACCACATTAAGTCTAGGTAGTAAAAGAGTATGTTTAGCTTATTTTGATAAAATTTCCTATGTATCAGGGTGATAATGAAGTAAACAAGAAACTTTTCTTGCATTTTCATATTCTGCCTCACTTAAAAAGTGCTCTCACATAAGCAAGCACAACACATTCAGGATATTATATCGAATATATACCATATTCATCAACCTACGAAAAGCAGTATTCATGTGAATGTAAAAGAGAGTTAACAGTACTCAAGAAAGTAGCTAATGAATGATTTGGAAATTTTAAGATTTGATTTAGCACATAAAAATATTTTTGTTAACTGTTTTTGTTATTAAAATTTTTTACAATAGCATTGACTTTTATTTATTCATGTTAAGTCACCTGAAATGATATCTGCTGCATTTAATGCTCATTAATGTAAATAGCTGAACAAACCCACGGATGCCCAATATCTCATGGTTATATTCAACACAGCCTCATTACAACTCCCACAACAGTACTTTATTTTGTAAACTATAACCCACTATTACTCCCTTTTCCCCTCCCCCCAGCTTCAAATGCACATGATAAAGAGGTTTAGTTAGGGAATGTACATGGAAAATAATAAAAACAGCTTTCCATTTACAAAATATATTCCCATACTGATTAATTCAGGCAGCTAACTGGTTTATGAAACTTTATTGAAGAAAAATAAATCAATTACTAGCAGAGCTATCAATCACTTCTCCAGTAATACCTTGCATCATTTATTCAGTGCTATATTAAGCAGTGTATTGGAAGACAGTTTAATAGCCTCCTAAGAATTTAAATGAAAATTACAAAATGTTTGACACCCTATTTTGAAATACAAAGGGTGTTTGACTTCTAATTTCCACTCTCTGGAGAAGAATAGCTCACTTCTTTATTGACCTGTATAAAATACACCACATTTTCTGTTCTGCTGATACTCTAAATTCAATATCAATTCTCCAGCCACATCAGTTAGGAGCATAAAGTACATGTAACCTCAAATCTCTAACAGTGGAAGGCTTCAACAAGAATGGATGCTGCTAGAATGTTGTTTCCTTTGATGTGACAACTGAGAATCCAGCTCCCGCCCCGTCAGGTGGCTTCTTCATCATGTTAGAGTAGTGAGGAATGGTTTGGTTTCATAATCAGGTTAAGAGTGAATATAGGTTGGGTGGGGGTTGGGGGGAAGATGGGAAGGGATGGGAAGGGGAAACAAAGGAGGAGGCTACAATGCTTGATAAGAAATGTATTCATTATCTTGCCCATGTAATTGTAACCCCTCTGTACAGTATTTTCACAATAAAAAAAAGAAAAGCACAAAAAAAAGAAAAAAAAGAGTGAATATAGGAAGTAGAGCTGTAGCTCAAGTGGTAGAGCGCTAGCCTTAAGCTGGAGAGCTGAGGGACAGTGCTCAGGCCCAGAGTTCAAGCCCCATGACCGACAAAAAAAAAAAAAAAAAGTGAACATACTGGCTGTATAATACAAATGCTGAACTTTAAAAAAAAATTTGAGTCTTGGGCAACTGCTTTCTTGTAACTACAGTTTCTAAAAGCAGTTATTGTCCAAAGCTGGAAAAACTTAAGTCTACTCAGATGAGAATGTAAATGAATGGAGGGAGGGAGCTAAGTGAAAAATAAAATTTAAAAGAAAAGATGACGTCTGATAGGGGAGCAGCCAGATAAGAAATCAAAAAAGGAACAGTAGTTTCAAGTTCATTCCAGCTATAATGCAGGTTATTCTGACTTTTAGGTAGCATCACATGACATACTTTTGATTCTATTCCCGAGATACTCTGTTGTATTTGTCTCTGTATGTTTTATTGTCCGTGCAATCTCTGGCACTAGGAGCTCATCTAGGATCGGATCACATAGAAGTGAATAAATGGATAAACAAACTTTAGAAATAGTTAAAGCAGGAGACCACTGTGACCTTAGAATATCAAGACAAATACTGTCAATATTGTTAATATTTGGATGATAAATTCTTGTTGTAAACGCAACCTCAGATGGTTTGTTGGGTAGTCTGTAGGAAAATGAATTGTTAAAAAAATACACCTCCATGATATGGGCTGTCATTACATAACAGAATATAAGAGAACATTATTCCTTATTAATCCATTTCAACACCATACTCAGTGCTTTTCTCCTGGCTCCTCACTATCAAAGGATCTGTCCCAAACTCTTGATTATCCAGGTGGCTGGGGAAAGACTATCTTCATCTTACACTGGCTTTCCCAGACACAGGCACAGAGGGGCCAGGGGCCCGTGGAGCAGTGGCCTCAGCCTCCTCCCCATGCAGCAACTGATGCTTCCCCAGCCTGAAGAAATTCTAATGATTGAAATGTGGTCATAGATACCCTGATACTTCCTTCCTCTGTAAGAACTGCTACATGAACTTTTGTAAACATTGCATACCTCCTACAATAAGAAATTTAGGTGGCAGAGGAATAAAATGTTCCTTGACTACAATTGCATTTTATCAGTCCTTTATTGAAGGATGGAGGCAAAGGGCAAAAGGCTTATAGAACATTAAAAAATGACAAAAAATTGTGAAATATGACCACAAGCACAACAGAGAATAAAAAGGATAAAAAGTGATGCTACCTAAAACCTACAGAAGGAAATTTTAAAAGTTGGAATGAAATATAGTACTAATTTGTTTTGCAGAGGCTAAAAGGAAAGTCTTTTGATTCCCATTTTGAACCCCATTACAAAGGAAGAATGGCCAACAATCATCCTACCAATCCAGCCATGCGTGACAATACCAGTGGTGAATGCTGACTAGCACACAAAAAGGAAATATATGTGTCAAGTGTTGAAAGAAAATAATCTTCAATAGATAATCCATTGGGTAAAGGAACTCTTCAGAAAATGTAGATTGGAGATATTTAAATGGAAAGATAATTCATTAATAACACATCTGCATTTTAAGACTGTTACAAAAAATTATCCTGCTTCAAAAGAATAAGATGCCAACATGCATGTACACATAGGACAAGGTCATTAAAAGGAAATATGTAGAACATATGTTAGGTTTTAGATAATCTTTCTGAAATGATTCATGGAAGAAAAACTAATTTATTAAGATTCAATATACAAATGCACAAGTGTATTATACACAAAGTATTTGCACTAGGCATATGTATCAATTAATACTTTACTTGCTTGATAAATATGAAGGCCTGAGACCAACGAATTAATTCTACCAAAAGAAAATAAAAAGGCAATAAATTTAGGGCTGGGAACATGGCTTATAAAGAGTGCTTGCTTAGCATGCATGAAGTAATGGTTTTGATTCCTCAGTACCACATGAACAAAAAAAGCTGAATGTGGTGCTGTGGCTCAAGCAGTGAGTGCTAGACTTCAGGGAAAGAAAGCTTAGAGAGAATGAATGCCTGAGATAAAGGAACTGTGCAAAAAAGGCCACAGAATTGTAATTTTTTAATCTTCCATTACTATTGGAAAAGTAATACTCCTCTAATTTATAAACATCAGGATAAAACATCAGCAGGACCATACATATCACTGGCATTATTTCAAACTAAATGCTGTTTATAAAGTACTGCAGTGTTAATTTTACGAAGACCAAAACAACAAGAGTAATTCTCAAGACAAACTTCCTAGAAAAAAAAATGAGATATAAAGCTAGGTTATAAACACATTACAGTTAAGTAATATATTTCTAAAAATCTATGAGTGAAATAAACACAGGGAAATTAGCATGAATATGGGAGAAATGTACATTATCACTATGTTTTATAGGCTATTAAAAGCAGTCACTTTGTTACTTCACCTTTGAACTAAAAACAAATGCTTTTAACTATGCATGATCTATTCTCAGGTGTCTTTTCTGGAGGGTGGGGGAAAGTCATAGAACTCCAGGGAAACAGGGAAAAAGTACAGCAGTGGAATTCATTAGACACTAATGAAAATAAACTATACAACTCATGATTAGAAAAGGGAGGGAGGAATTGTGAGAGAGTAAGGAAAGGAAGACACTCTGTGAAAGGGAATATACTCATTACCTGACTCATATAATTGTAATCTCTCTGTATCTCTATAACAATAAATTAAATTAATTATAAAACAATCCTTCCATGTAGTTGTGCTAGCCTAAACTGTTTGCTTAGTGAAGAAAATATACCAGTTAGAATAGTTACAACTATTAGAAATAAAATACAAGACTTAATTTGAAACGTGAAATATTGGAATTGAGGTTGAATATTAATTCTATATAAACCAGTAACAATAACCTTGTTTTAGTATCAAATTAACTGTTAGTATTAAATGTTCAGGTAAGAAAAAAGCAAATCAAAACAAGTGCTCTAGCTCAAGACTGTTATCAGACCCTAGCTACTCAAGGAGGCTGAGGTCTGGAAGCCAGCATGGTAGACAACTCAAATTCATTTGAAATTTTGGAGTTGAGGTTGAATATTAATTCCACATAAGCCAATAACAGTATATGCTGGTAAGAAAAACAAAAACAAGTGTTTCAGGAACGAGAATGTATCCTAGTTACTAAGGAGGCTGATGTCTGGAAGCAGCCTTGGTGGACAACTCAAATTAAGTCGCTAATAACAGGTTGGAGGCATGGTTTAAATGAGCGTGTCAACAGCGATTGAGGAAGCTGACTGACTGAGTTCAAGATCTAGTACTAGCACAAGAAAGCATTGTTGGGGCTTTGACACTAATTGTGGCAACACAGTAAGTCCTCAGACATAAAGAGAAATGAAAATGAATGGAGTGGAGAGAGGAGAGAAAAGGGGCAGAGAAAAGAAGAGCTGACAAGACAGTAGTGGAAAAATAGGAAAAAAGAAGGGAAGGGAAAGGAAAAGAAGAGAGGAAGGGAGGAAAGTTTCATGACATTAGACTTGACAGTGACTCCTTTGATAGGACACCAAAAGTGTTTGATACTAAACAAAATCAAATTTAGTGCATATAATTAAAACATTGTATATCAGAAAGTGTGATCAACAAGGTATTAGTTTTTCTCTAAATAGATTACTAACCACAGTGAATTAAAAACATAAAACAAGGGGGCTGGGAAGGTGGCTCAGTGGTAGAGTGTTTGCCTTGCATGCCTGAGGCCCTGGGTTTGATTCCTGAGCACCATATAAGCAGAAAAAGCCAGAGGTGGTGCTGTGGCTCAAGTGGTAGAGTGCTAGCCTTGAGCTGAAGAGCTGAGGGACAGCACCCAGGACCAGAGTTCACATAAAACAAAATCCTATAATTAACCACCCCCCCACCATGACACAAAATCTAATTTAAAAATGGAAAAAACTGAAGATACTTTTCTAAAAAGTATACAGGTAGCTCATTAAATACAAAAAAGTTCAATGTCAATAGTTATTAGAAAAATTCAAATCAAAATGAAATATCTACTTCTTCATACACACTTTTATTAAACAAAAACAAAAAAGTTTCCAAAGTCTAACAACTGTTGAGAAAGATGTGAAAATAAAGTGAATTTTGATGCATTTCTGGCAGGAATGTAAAAAAATCAACGATGGTATGGAGACTTCTAAAAGAACTAAATATAGAATTACATAGGAATATGGTCTAGCACTTCTATTTCTAGATTTATACCAGTGGAAGTGAAAGCAGGGACTAGAACAAATATTTGGAGAATCACTACACAACAACTACTCACAATAACCAAAAGACAGAAGCCTGGAAAGAATAGATAAATGTGTTTAACAGGAAGAAAACTTTAATACATTTTACAGCAGGGATAAATCTTGAATACAATAAGCTAAATAAAATACACCAGGCATCAACTATCAGCCATGGTATGATTTCCCTTACTGCTCTTCCATGGATCAACAAACTCATAGTCCCAGTAACTATAATGGTTCCAAAGACTGGTAGGAGCTGTGTATTTAATGATTTTTACAGCTTCATTTATGGAAGGTAAAAAATGCTGTAGATGGATGGAAGGCATGACCATAAAACAATGTGGCCATATGTAATGGTTAATGTAGCCAAAAAGGATGGAATATACCTATACTCCCTGAATTTGGGATTACCAGCCAGCCTAGGCTACATAAAATTTCAAGAGCAAGCTGGACTACATAGCAAGACCTGTCTTCAAAGGGAATACGGAAAAATCAAACCATAAGAAAAATGTCAATTCTAAGAGCCATAAAATTTCAAGAGCAAGCTGGACTACATAGCAAGACCTGTCTTCAAAGGGAATACGGAAAAATCAAACCATAAGAAAAATGTCAATTCTAAGAGCCACTGCAGCAAAGGAAAATTTGTAAGAAAAACTAGTTCCCAGACACAGCATTCGAAGAAAAGTAAAAAATGAGAGACAGATGGAGGGAAGACAGGCTGGGAGAAAAAAAAATACAGAGAAAAAAATAGATACATAAAAAAAGATACAAATAAGCAAAGCTAGAGAGCAGAAAACAAAGATTGAAACAGAAAATAGTAAGGGGGGGGGGGAGGAATCTTGTGAGGACACCTTAGAAAAAATAGAGGGATTTCTAGAAAAATCATAGACCATATCATCGCCTATAGCCTAAGTATCAAGTAAGAAAATGACCACGAAGCAGTCCAATAAGGTATGAAGAGTAATTTAAGTACATATTGCTTACTCAGTCCTCTAAAACACTCAAAGACTTCATTAAGACAGTTCAATGTTACTCATGAGGTTGGGATCTCTGACAAGTTGCTAGGGAACCTTCATCTTCCATTAGATATCACCTCCCCTAGGTTACTGAATCACATAACAGTGTGACTACTTTTTCTCACATAAGAAAAACTAGAAACAAACTGAAGCAAATCTGCACTTAACATAGACAGAATGTCAGATTTTATTAAAATATGCTAAACCTAATAGCCATCTTTATGTGATTTATGAACATGTTCCTGAAGCTGGATCTGTTTTTCTGTTTTTAAATCTTGGACATCTTTAAGTTCCTAAGATGGAATGTAATACAAAATGAGAAATAAAATGCAACTCACCAGAGAGTCTTTCATTCTTTCTTGCTGTTGACAATGAACAGAAGATTCAGGAAGCATGGCTGGGAGAGAAGGCAAATGAAGTAGTCAGGAAAGAACCTGTGTGATTTTACTGAAATTTTCCTGCTCGAAACATTATACATGGGAGGAAAGGCCTTCTTATGGGAGAAGAATCTTTTATGTCTCAAGTAAAGCATCAAACTCTCCACTAAAGACAAATCCACAGTCCTTAGTTGCTAGATACTGTTAGCCCAATAAGCTTCTTTCCCATAGCTAAGCATACGCCTTCCCTTTTCCACAGCTTGGCATGCTCCCTTCCTGGTCAACACTAGGCAGTTAATAATCAGCCTCCCTCCAAGCCCCCTTTATCTTTAGATGGCACTCTTCTGGGGTAGCTACTACAATATAGGGCAGCAAGAACTCCCTAGAGTGACCTTAAGGTCTGGGCAGCTGCAGAACCCCTTATCTACTATTTGGGCAGCAGCCATAAATCCTAGTCCACCATGATGGATCCCTTGGTCCACATGTCCACACTGGGGTCTCCACCTCCTAGCCCCTAGTTATATAGGTCACCGCAAACAATAGCCGGTACTTCTTCTCACTCTTCACTTGTGAGAAGGGGTCTTGCCAGTTCCACTGCTGTCAATAAACCTTTCTTTGTTCTTTGTACCTAGATGTTTACATGGGTCTCTGGCAAAGTCTAATATACCCTAACAGATAGTATAAAAGCAATTCATTTCTCCATTAATGTACATACAGAATTCATAAAAACTGATGTTCCTACAAAAATAATTGAATAATCAAAAAGTCACATCTTCACAAAAACTAGCTATTACTCAAATGCACTTAGAGATGTATGATCTATTATTCTACTAATGCAAAGATATCCTAGGACTCCACTGAGCATTTGTATTCTAACATTCATTTACATATTTAAACACCATGGAGAACACAAATATTGTAACTCAGTATTTTTCACCTAAATTTATAGAGGGAAAATGTGTACAACACATATTTTTTGTGTTATACTGTTTCAATGATGATTGTCAGATGGCACATTTCCTTGTATCCAAATACTCAGAGCGCCCTCATGAGGGCAGAGAATCAAGAACAGTTATGATTCCTGGAGAGTTGTCAGATTGTCTGAAGAACTCTTGGGCTTTCAGTGACCTTGAAGGTAAATTAAAAAGGCTTAGGGACAGGCACTGGTGGCTCATGCATGTAAACCTAGCTGAATCAGGAGGCTGAGGTCTAAGGATCATGGTTCAAAGACAGCCTGGGAAGGAAAGCAAGTGGAATCTTATCTACAATCGACTACAAAAACCCTGGATATGGAGCTGTGGCTCAAGTGGCAGAGCATGAGTTTTGAGCCAAAAAGCTCAAGGGCATCATCCAGATTTGAGTTCAAACCCTAGGAATCACACACACACACACACACACACACATTCGATAGATCTGTCAGACAGTGACTCTCATTTACATGCCTATGTCCCTTCAATGCACTTCCATGGAGACTGAAGGAATGCTGGGGAAGAGGGATCTACTCAGTGAAGACAGTATGTGGATAGAGAAGAATAGACAGCAATGAAGGAGTGATGCTTCCTCAAGGTTTCCAGGGAGTCCATGAAATGATTATATGTAAGGTGTATGATGTTCTAGGGGATCAGCAGAAGAAGAAAAGGATAACGGGGTGATATGGGGTTCTGTGCAAGCCTGAACTTGCAGAGCCTTGAGTTGCAGTGAACAACCTCCTCCTGCTGCCCTAATCCATTTGGTCATCCCTCTATTTTGCTTTCTCCTCTAAAGAAAGCCACAGGTGTTGAGTGCTGAGGAGCAGAGCCATGGAAATGGTAAAAGGGTCAGAGGGTGTTGCTCAATGGGCATCATTGGCACCCACCAAGGCAGCAGTGGTTCTGAATCTACACCAGCCATGCTTCATGGCCTGCATGCAGAGGCCAAAGAGAACAGAGAGACCATAGGAAAAAATTGTGCATGTGTGTCAATTCTGGGGCTTGAACTCAAGGTCTGGGCCCCCTCCTTGATCTTTTGTTTAAGGCTAGTGATCTACCACTTGAGTGACACCTCCATTTCTGGCTTTTCAAAAGGTGGTTAATTGGAGATAAGGGCCTCACAGACTTTCCTGCCCAGGCTGGCTTTAAACCTTGATTATCAGATCTCAGCTGCCTGAGTAGCTAGGATTATAGACGTGAACCACTGGTCCCTGGCTTAGGAAGGAATCTTAATCACACTCAATCCTCTAAGTATTGATTAGTGGTATGTACTGTCACTTCTGCACAATGCAAGAATTTTTTTTCTGGTCCTGGGGCTTAAACTCTTGATCTGGGTGCTATCCATGCGTTTTTGTTCTCAAGGCTAGCACTCTACCACTTGACCAAAAAGCTCCACTTCCAGTTTTACAGTGGTTCATTGGAACTAAGAGTCTCACAGGGACTTTCCTGCCCAAGCGGGCTTTGAACTGTGATCCTCAGATCTCAGCCTCCTGAGTAGTGAGGATTACAGGCATGAGCAACTGGTGCCCAGCTAATGAAAGAATTCTGGAGACAGTAAGTAAGTGAGGAAAAATGACTGCTGTTAAAAGGTAGAGCCTGTCACAGGGCTCACACAGTAGCTACGATTACAGACATGAGCCATGGGCACCTGACATGACATGTGTATTCTTGTTTTGGATGTAGGCATATTTGTTTTGGTAAAATGTACCTTTCTCATTGGTGGCTTAGGCCTGTTTCTTAGCTACTCAACTAATTACCAAAAGGCCAGCAATGGAGCTTAGACTCAAGTGGTAGAACATTAACCTTGAGCAAAAAAACAAAACAAAACAAAAACAAACAAACAAAAAAACAGCTTAGGGAGAGTACTCAGGCCCTGAGTTCAAGCCCCAGGACCATTAGATACAGACACAGACACACAGAAACATAAAATAACAATATTGCAAATGTACTCAGAACACCACTATTCTACAAACAGAAAAACTTGGGCTCAAAAAAAAAATGGCTGGGAGCTGGTACCTCATACCTGTGATCCTAGCTACCCAGCAAGCTGAGATCTGAAGATTACAATTCAAAGACAACCTGGGCAGGAAAGTCCATAAGACTCTTATCTTCAATTAACCACCAGAAAACCAGAAATGGAGCTATGGCTCTAGTGGTAGAGTAGCAGTCTGGAGCCAAAGAGCCCAGGAACAGTGTTCAGATACTGAGTTCAAGCTTGGCCAGTGGTGAGCAGAAGAGCCACAAGCAGGCACATCTCCTTCAGTGAAAGGCCCTCTGGCTAGGTCCTGCTGATCCTGTTTACTGGATTAGTTGACTGAATAACTCTATATCCAACATCCCCCCCTGTGACTTACAGAGCTGCTCTGGAAGGCCTCAAGGTCTGACCGATGTGGACCCCAGGGGAGGGGTTAACAACTGTTGTCTAAGCCATTCAGCTTGCAGAGATGATCCATTCTGCCCTTTCCATTGGGCAGAGCCACTCTACACCCAGCTTTGACCCTGTTCTGCATCTTGCAGGCTCCATTCAAGGCAAAAAGTTCTGGCAATTTTAGGAACATCGATTATCTCAGAATCTAATAGCTGGGTGGCAGTGGCTCACACACACCTGTAATCCTAGCTATTTAGGAGCCTGAGATCTAAGGATCACAATTCAAAGTCAGCTCAGGTCAGGCAAGAAAGTTCATGAGAGTTTTCAGTTTTTTTTGTTGTTGTTTGTGGAGTTTGAACTCAGGGCCTGGTTGCTGTACCCACCAGAACTCCTATTCCTCAGGGCAAGTGGTCCACCACTTTAAATCACAGTAGGTTGCTAATTGGAGATAAAAGCCCTGTTCTGGCTGACTTTGAACCTCAACATCAGATATCAAGCCTTTTGAGTAGCTAGGATTACAGTGTGAGCCACTTGAGCCTGGCCTAAAAAAACCGAAATGGAGGCATGGCTCAAGGGGTAGCACCCGCCTTATCTTGAATACAAAAGGTAAGGGAGAACTCACAGAGGCCGAGTTCCAGCCACAGTATCAGCATGTGTACACATGCATGCAGGTGCATACATATACACACACACAATAGTTTAAGAGTGCTTAAAAAACCTAACAATGAAGCTGGGTGCTTGTGGCTCAGGCCTGTAATCCTAGCTACTCAGGAGGCTGAGATCTGAGGATCACAGTTCAAAGCCAGCCCAGGCAGGAAAGTCTGTGAGACTCCTATCTCCAATAAACCACTCAGAAAACTCGAAGTGACGCTGTGGCTCAGGTGGTAGAGTGCTAGCCTTAAGCTGAAGAGCTCAGGGACAGAGCTCAGGCCCAGAGTTCAAGCCCCATAACCAACAAAACAAAACAAAACCCAACAATGACAAATTATAGGTGAGCTGTGAGAGAACAAGTAAGGTAAATCTGGAGGCAAATGAAGCTGACATCTGTGATGGTTAAATCTTGAGGATGAACTTAATTGAGATCGATTGGTTTAAATGCATCAGGCTGATAAGTAAAACACACCTTTGTGTGTGTGGGGGGGGGTTGGGCTGGATATCAGATTAACTGAATCTCTCCTGCATATAGGTCACACCATTCCATAGGCAGGCTTTCCATATGAAATTAAAGTGGGGTGGAGGAGAGAATACTGCAATGCAGGTATTCTCTTTCCCACTCTTACCCCTTTCCCTAACTCCCTGGCTACCATGAGTTGTTCTGCTTTGCCAAGATTGCCTGAAATCAGTGACATGAAGCAAAATAAATCCTTTTTCCCTTAGGTTATTTCTGTCAAGTATTTTGTCGCAGCAACAACAAACTATATTACTAACACAAAACCCTATCTTTTCTACTTCTGTCTCTTGTTTTATTTTTTTGCTAGTCTTGAGGCTTGAACTCAGAGCCTGAGCACTGTCCATGAGCCTCTTTGTGTTCAATCAAGGCTAGTGCTTTGGGGCTGGGAAGGTTGTTCAGTGGTACAGCACTTGCCTTGCATGCTTGAGGCCCTGGGTTCGATTCCTCAGCACCACATAAGCAAAAAAGAAAAAAGCCAGAAGTGGCGCTGGGACCCAAGTGGTAGAGTGCTAGCCTTGAGCTGAGAGCTGATGGATAACGCCCAGGCCCCAGGACC